CTATTTGTGATATCGAAAAATTGAAAACAACGTTGCACAGTAAATGTTCTCCTTATTATGTGGTGAAAATTTCGTTTCTTAGTTATAGCTGTAGCCTTCTCRGTTCTTTCCCSYGCGAAACWGTTTTTGCAATGTWACGCACTTGTAAGACGGAGACAATACATGCGGGTGTAGCGTCCTCTTAAGTTCTTGGGTGTTCCCTCACCACACCACTATTACCTTACCACACCTGACCGGCCGACGCTTCACCACCTCAACACCAGCATCGCCGTGTCAAAGCAAGACGTCCGTACGCGTTGGAACAGTACTTTATTTATGTTGGAAAGACTTGTACAACTGAAAGAACCTCTAACAATTACAATAATTTCCTTAACAGAAGCTCCAACTTTCCTTGACCATGATGAATGGAATATAGTTGAGGACATAATACCTTTGTTGAGACCCTTCAATTGCTTAACGGTAGAACTTTCTGCAGAGCAATACCCAACAATTTCTAAAGTGATACCATTGATAAGAGGTAATTATTTCAATACATTGCACCATATATTTTATTACATAATTATTTAACAATCGTTCAATGGATATATAGTTTGTCTTCTAACAAATAAAAAATATAAAACTAATCACACTAAAAATAGTTTGCTAATATATAAAAAATAATTTTAAAATTCTAAGGAAAGCTTGATTATAAGTTTAATTTATTCAATTGAATATTTTTATAAGTACATAACTTAAAAGTAAATCATCATTTATAGGTTTACAAGGTTCGTTGGTTACAAAAATTCCAAGAACACCAATCGATCAAGCTTTAAAAACGAATTTGATTAGCAATACAACAAAACGTTTTGATGGTTTTGAAAAACAAACATTAACACCGAAATTTTCAAGAGCTATCCTGTTGGATCCAAGGTTCAAAAAAGTTGCATTTGGAGTAGAAGATAATGCTAATGAGGCTGAAAAGTATGTAATTTCAGAAATAGCTGATCTATTAGATACACCAAATGCTGCTAATGGTAAATACATAATACACTTAATACATTTTGGGTTTAAGGTCTTTCTTTAAAATATTTTTTTTGTTTCAGAATAAGCAGTTGTTAATGAAGAAATTATTCACGAACAAGTGGATAATGTTTGGGAATTCCTACAGTCCAAGGTTACTAGTATACAATCTCAAAGTACTGTAACAAGCAGTGCTACTGCTTTGATGAGGCAATACTTAAATATTCCTCATTAAGACTTAAAGTGTAATGTTTTTACATTCTGGAATCAACACAAGTCTGTGCTATATCCACTTGGTAAAATTTCTGAAAAATATGCAATTATTCCAGAAACATCAGTACCATCTGAACGAATTTTTTCAAAGGCTGGTCAGATTTTATGTGCACGACGCAACAGATTATTACCCGATAATTTGGATACCTTAATTTTTTTAAGTAAAAATATGTGTAGTATACCTATCTCTCTATGGTACACGAAATAATTGATGAACAAATAATACTATTTGAATAACTTTATTAAAACATAACACAAACACACAAAAAAATATACGGGCCTCTATCAACCGCTTACCAATATCTCGCCTCTCACTCGAAACCCGTACTGTCCCCCTACTGTGGTGCTTACGTCCTTAAATATTATTTTACAATGAGCTGCCTCAGCTCATT